ATGAGGGTTAGTTTGACCTTGTGAGGTGGGGTTTTCGAGACCACTATATAAGCCTAACATGTATATATATAGACTGCCTGTCTCCCGACTTAAAGAAGTTATAAGTACTGTCAATGAAGCCTAAGAGAGCATAAACCAAGGCCTAAGAGTAGTCATTCGTTCTTTGAAGAGGATTGTTTAGGTTCTTTAAATACCAGTGTGTGGCATTTATGAGCAATTTGTGCGAGATCAATGGCATCCAAACATTTCCATGTTGGTGCAATAGTCCACTTTTGGTTTGTTTGTTTGACTAAATAGTTGCTATAAGTATTATCATTAATGAAGAATTGGCTGGTATGTGTGAGTATCCTCCGCCGCAGTTACCATTATCATCACTCACTGACAAGTTATTGGTTACCACTTGTATACAATAACAACGGCCATACTACCACTTAAAGGACACTGCTTCTCGTCCCATTAGCCAAGTTAAGCAACTTTCAATTTGGTTAGTAATTGGATGGGTAACCTGCCTGGTAACACCAACTGCTAGTGCTGCTGATGGCATTCATATTTGGGCAGTCCCTGTGGATCAGTGGCAAGGCACTCATCTCGCGCTTCTCAAGCGATTTCGCCTGGGTTCATATCCTGGCTAGCCGGGAAGAGCGGATTGACTAGGCACCAATCCTTAACTGGTTAGGTTAGGTCAGGTCAGGTCAGGTTAGGTTAGATTTAGGTTAAGTTTTGGTTAGGTTTAGGTCAGGTTAGGACAGGTCATGTTAGGTCAGGTTAGGTCAGGTCAGATCAGGTTAGGTCAGGTCAGGTCAGGTCAGGTCAGGTGAGGGTTGGGTTGGGTTAGGTTTAGGTTTAGGTGAGGTTAGGTGAGGTTAGGTTGGTTAGGTTAGGTTGGTTAGGTTAGGTTTAGGTTTAAGTTAGGTTAGGTTTAGGTGAGGTTAGGTTAGGTTTAGGTGAGGTTAGGTTAGGTGAGGTTACATATATATATATATATATATATATATATATATATATATATATATATATATATATATATATATATATATATATACACACATACATACAATTGACGATCACAAAACACTGATCATTTTTATGCGAAAAATCCACAGAGAATTGTGAAAGTGAACGTTTTGGCCTGTTAAAGCCTTTGTCAACACCAGACTAACTAGAGAAAAGAGAGAGAGAGGATACAGGCCAACACCTGGAACATGACCAACCCATCTCTAGGGAAAGAATTAACCAGAAACAGGTATAGCTTAGCTTATAATGTTCAAAGAGGATTAAGCGGTCAGAGAATAAGGATGAAAGATTAAAGAAAAGCCTCATGAACACACAATATATGAATATAAATTTGTAATGAGGCATTGTAAGCCTCCTTATCAGAGTTTTTTCTTAAACTGTTGTGCAATATTATAACTTAAAAATGGATCAAGTTTGTACATACCAGTACTAACATTAAAAAGATTTGGACACTGACTGATTAGAGCAGACTCAATCAAATTCCGTTCCACGAAACAACCACAATTGGTAATGCTTTTCGCCCCATTCCAGTTAATAGTGTGATCACACAAACTCGTGTGTAGATACAATGCACTAGCTGTTTGGGCAGTTCTAATACTATAAGCATGTTGTGACAACCGCAATTGTAAGGACTTTCCTGTTTGTCCAAGGTACACAAACTCACAATCATTGCAGGGAATCGAATACACACAACCTGCTGTATCAGGGGAGTTTTTTTTATTAAATTGGACTTGATCGTACTATTAGTGAACACCAAATTGATATTAAGTTTCATAAAAACCAGAGACAGTTTTTCAAGTTCACTCGCATAAGGTACCACCAATGAGTTAATAATTTCTGGTTTCGCTTTGGGGACATGATTATAAAACGTACGATTAGCTTGTTCGAACGAGCAATCCAAAAACATCTTAGGATATTGTAAACTCTTCCCAATTTCATATATTTTAGCAATCTCTTCATCAAAAAACTCAGGGCTGCATACCCTCAAAGCTCGAAGAAACATTCCTGAAAATACTGCCTGTTTAACTTTACTATGATGATTTGAATAAAAATGAACATACGAACCCACGTTGGTAGGTTTCCTATACACATTCAATTTGAACTTTCTAGTGACTCTATGAATCATAATGTCCAAAAACGGAAGAGTACCATTCTCCTCAGTCTCACAAGTGAATTTTATTGAAGGTATCAAAGAATTAAGTTCATTAAGAAAAACTATCTGGTCTTTGTCACACGGCAATAAGCATAAAATATCATCAACATACCTAAACCAAACTACATTAGCAGGAATAATTCTGGATAAGATTTTAGTTTCAAAGAACTCCATATACAAATTGCTCAAAACTGGGGAAAGGGGATTGCCCATCGCCATTCCAAATGTTTGTTTGAAATTTTTCCATTAAAACTAAAATATCTGTCTTTTAAACACAATTTGGTAAGTTCCAATACTTTATTGGTCTGCAAGCTCAAATTATATTTGGGCAGTTCCTCACGTAGAAATTCTAACAAATCATCAACAGATACTTTAGTGAATAAAGAGGTCACATCGAAACTTATTAGTTTAAAATCAAAATTTAAATTCAGTGTGGATAGCTTATTAACTAAGTCCACATTGTTTGTTAAGTGTGAGTTGGAAATAGTACCAACTATAGGGTACAAAACTTTGACTAACCACTTAGAGAGTTTATAAGCCGCCGAACCAACTGAACTAATAATCGGCGTTGCCGTGTTATATGGCTTATGAGTTTTTATAAGACCATACATGTAAGGAAGAGAGGGGGATCGACTTGTTAGCCTAGATATCAACTCTTTATCGCCTTTACACACCGTTTTGAGAGTTTTGTTAAAATGTGCAATCACTTTTTCAGTAGGATCTCTGTTAATCAATAGATAAGTATCCCTGTCTTCCAGGAGTAACTCCATTTTTCGGACATAGTCATCCTTATTCATAATAACTACTGCATTTGACTTATCATCCTTGGTAATGTGTAATGAACCATCTTGTTTTAGATTTTTGAGAACATGAACAAATCGACTTGGACAATTAGGAACAGAATTGTTAAGTAAAACACCATACATCATACCTTTGCACACAATAATATCTTCAACTGAGACATTGCTATACTTTGAGATTGCTGAAACCTTTGGCAATATCTACATAATTGACTGTTCCGTTAGATGTGGCAAAGCTCAGGCCATATCCTAATGCAGTAATCGTGTCATTATCAAGCTGTCTATCCGAGAGGTTTATAACAAAATCCCGGTTGGAGTGTTTATTCCAGTCACTTTGTTGAATAAGTCTCTTTAATTTGAAATCAAGTTTAGTACTCACCTTTCTGCAGGTAGACCTTTTTTTTTTTTGAGATATATACAAGAGTTGTTACATTCTTGTACAGCCACTAGTACGCGTAGCGTTTCGGGCAGGTCCCTGGAATACGATCCCCTGCCGCGAAGAATCTATTTCTCATCCAAGTACACATTTTACTGTTGCGTTAAACAGAGGCTACAGTTCAGGAATTGCACCCAGTAAATCCTCCCCGGCCAGGATACGAACCCATGACATAGCGCTCAAAGTATTATAACAGTAATCCATCACACACCGGTTCCATTCAGGCGAAATGGCTTGGAGAAAAGCGTACTTATATTTATCTACCACTTTAAAACATTCACGAACTTCTAATTTATGTAAATCGATGTTTTTCATAAGCACAATGCGGGGTATCTCATCAAACGGTCGATCTGACAATTTAAGAACGATGTTGGGTAATAATGAACGGGGAAGCACTTGTTCACTGAGGCATTTTCGAAGAAAATGATTCTGGTTAACATTTTATACCTGTTTCTGGTTAATTAAAGCTAAGCTATACCTGTTTCTGGTTAATTCTTTCCCTAGAGATGGGTTGGTCAGGTTCCAGGTGTTGACCTGTACCCTTCCTCCCTCTCTCCTCTAGTCAGTTTGGTGTTGACAACGGCTTTAATCAGGCCGAAACGTTCACTTCCTTTCACATTTCTCTGTGGCTTTTCCGCATTATATATATATATATATATATATATATATATATATATATATATATATATATATATATATATATATATATATATGTCGTACCTAATAGCCAGAACTCACTTCTCAGCCTACTATGCAAGGCCCGATTTGCCTAATAAGCCAAGTTTTCCTGAATTAATATATTTTCACAATTTTTTTTCTTATCAAATGATAAAGCTACCCATTTCATTATGTATGAGGTCAATTTTTTTTTATTGGAGTTAAAATTAACGTAGATATATGACCGAACCTAACCAACCCTACCTAACCTAACCTATCTTTATAGGTTAGGTTAGGTTAGGTAGCCGAAAAAGTTAGGTTAGGTTAGGTAGTCGAAAAACAATTAATTCATGAAAACTTGGCTTATTAGGCAAATCGGGCCTTGCATAGTAGGCATAGTATATATATATATATATATATATATATATATATATATATATATATATATATATATATATATATATATATATAATGTTTCATTGAATATGACCGCATATTCTGTATTTAATATTTTCTGGTTTAGGGCTTCTATCCCTCTAACTATTTTCTTAGCATCAGGGCTTAGTTGAAATAGGAGTTCTCCAAAACTCATTTTCGTACTTTTAAGGTGAAGAAAAGAAGTGATTTACTATAGAGTGTATTACACTTATTTGAACAATTTGCAAATTGTATAAATAATTTCCCGCAGTTCAAAGTACAATGGCTGACCTTGCGAATTTTATATCCAAAAATCGCACCAGGATATTTGGGCCTTAATCTCTAATCTGGGTGTTCCCACAGTTAATTAATTAGTTAATTTGTAAGGCCTATTTACCAACACTAGGCAGCAGTTATTTATAGATTATCGCTCTCATGTTTGTCACCCATGTTGTTTGGTGGAGTGTATATTGTTAGTGTCCAGAGTTAGTGTGACTCAATACACAGTGGGAGTGAATCTCTTATGATCATCCCAACAGGTCCCAACACATCACGTCGTGCTTCTCCGCGCCGCGCACTTTTCCACGCGCCCACACTTCACCGCGCTCACACTGCACCCCCGCCCACACTGCACCCCCGCCCACACTGCACCCCCGCCCGCACTGCACCCCCGCCCGCACTGCACCCCCGCCCACACTGCACCCCCGCCCACACTGCACCCCCGCCCACACTGCACCCCCGCCCACACTGCACCACCGCCCACACTGCACCCCCGCTCACACTGCACCCCCGCCCGCACTGCACCCCCGCCCGCACTGCACCCCCGCTCGCACTGCAACCCCGCCCACACTGCACCCCCGCCCACACTGCACCCCCGCCCACACTGCACCACCGCCCACACTGCACCCCCGCCCACACTGCACCCCCGCCCACACTGCACCCCCGCCCACACTGCACCCCCGCCCGCACTGCACCCCCGCCCACACTTCACCCCCGCCCGCACTGCACCCCCGCCCGCACTGCACCACCGCCCACACTGCACCCCGCCCGCACTGCACCCCCGCCCACACTGCACCCCGCCCGCACTGCACCCCGCCCGCACTGCACCCCCACCCACACTGCACCCCCGCCCACACTGCACCCCCGCCCACACTGCACCCCGCCCACACTGCACCCCGCCCACACTGCACCCCGCCCACACTGCACCCCCGCCCACACGGCACCCCCGCCCACACGGCACCCCCGCCCACACTGCACCCCGCCCACACTGCACCCCGCCCACACTGCACCACCGCCCACACTGCACCCCGCCCACACTGCACCCCCGCCCACACTGCACCCCGCCCACACTGCACCCCGCCCACACTGCACCCCCGCCCACACTGCACCCCCGCCCACACTGCACCCCGCCCACACTGCACCCCCGTCCACACTGCACCCCCGCCCACACTGCACCCCCGCCCACACTGCACCCCCGCCCACACTGCACCCCCGCCCACACTGCACCCCGCCCACACTGCACCCCGCCCACACTGCACCCCCGCCCACACTGCACCCCCGCCCACACTGCACCCCGCCCACACTGCACCCCCGCCCACACTGCACCCCCGCCCACACTGCACCCCCGCCCACACTGCACCCCGCCCACACTGCACCCCCGCCCACACTGCACCCCCGCCCACACTGCACCCCGCCCACACTGCACCCCGCCCACACTGCACCCCCGCCCACACTGCACCCCCGCCCACACTGCACCCCGCCCACACTGCACCACCGCCCTCACTGCACCCCGCCCACACTTCACCCCGCCCACACTTCACCCCGCCCACACTTCACCCCGCCCACACTTCATCCCGCCCACACTTCACCCCGCCCACACTTCACCCCGCCCACACTTCACCCCGCCCACACTTCACCCCGCCCACACTTCACCCCGCCCACACTTCACCCCGCCCACACTTCACCCCGCCCACACTTCACCCCGCCCACACTTCACCCCGCCCACACTTCACCCCGCCCACACTTCACCACGCCCACACTTCACCACGCCCACACTTCACCCCGCCCACACTTCACCACGCCCACACACTTCACCACGCCCACACACTGCACCACGCCCACACACTGCACCACGCCCACACACTGCACCACGCCCACACACTGCACCACGCCCACACACTGCACCACGCCCACACACTGCACCACGCCCACACTTCACCACGCCCACACACTGCACCCCGCCCACACTTCACCACGCCCACACTTCACCACGCCCACACTTCACCACGCCCACACTTCACCACGCCCACACACTTCACCACGCCCACACACTTTACCACGCCCACACTTCACCACGCCCACACCTCACCACGCCCACACTTCACCACGCCCACACACTGCACCCCGCCCACACTTCACCACGCCCACACTTCACCACGCCCACACACTGCACCCCGCCCACACTTCACCACGCCCACACTTCACCACATCTTACTGCAGGAGTCGCTGTTGTCACCGAGGTGTGTGGCGGGTGCGAGCACGGAGAGTTCCTGTTAATCTATCACACACCTCTGTTAGGCCTGATAATGCACATACATTTTAATGAACCTTACCTTGATGTTACCTTGAGGTGCTTCCGGGGCTTAGCGTCCCCGCGGTCCGGTCGTCGACCAGGCCTAAGTTGTACTAGGTGTCGACCAGGTTAAAGCATTGAACATAAATATGAACATTGAACATATGAAGCATTAACATAAACAAGAATAAGCCATTAACTTCAGACCAGGTGACAAAAACCCCCATGCCGGAATGGTCCTCAGGCATGGCAACAGCCAGAGTGGTCCTCAGGCATGGCAACAGCCAGAGTGGTCCTCAGGCATGGCAACAGCCAGAGTGGTCCTCAGGCATGGCAACAGCCAGAGTGGTCCTCAGGCATGGCAACAGCCAGAGTGGTCCTCAGGCATGGCAACAGCCAGAGTGGTCCTCAGGCATGGCAACAGCCAGAGTGGTCCTCAGGCATGGCAACAGCCAGAGTGGTCCTCAGGCATGGCAACATCCAGAGTGGTCCTCAGGCATGGCAACAGCCAGAGTGGTCCTCAGGCATGGCAACAGCCAGAGTGGTCCTCAGGCATGGCAACAGCCAGAGTGGTCCTCAGGCATGGCAACAGCCAGAGTGGTCCTCAGGCATGGCAACAGTTTAAGACGGGAGTCCACTCTCACGGGACAATGACAGCCACTTGACTCTGTGGCACTCAATATTATAAATCAAGAATGGCACTCTATAGAATCTCCAGGTGCTCAGAGTGAGTTGGAGTGCTCCCTGTTTTATCCGTTTCGTGACTTCTGTTTACTGGAGCACGTGAGATATTTAGATTCTGGATCGGAAGCAGAGTTACTGTTGGCAGTCGCTGTGGTGCTGTGGTAGTACGCTCGACACACAAGCTATATCGACCGAGCACCCGTTCTTAACTGCTCGCCTCTGCACACTCAGCGATAAATATAGGTTATTTACCTTGTTATATACTGGTTAAAGGATCGAGTTCCAGGGAAAACTAGTAGGATAAGGCTGATGAGGAGCTGTGGGAAGGAAAAGGTGTAGCCTGATAAGATAAATTTTCTTCCCTAGTACACACTTGGAGAAAATGTGCAGATCAATTTATCAAGTTGTTTACATAATACATAAATAATTTGAATTTATTTGTGTACATATAGAAGTAAGTTTTCTAGAAATTTACAAGCATAGATTGAGCAATAAACATGAGAGCGATAATCTATAAATAACTTCTGCCTAGCTTTGGTAAATAAACCACACAAAATTAACTAATATGTAATTTACATGTAAAATTGTTTCCTGCTATGTTGAATTAAGAGATCATTTAGCACATTGCGACGAGGAGATACATTATCACTTGTAACTTCAACAATTTGCATGTGCATCTTGTCAGAGGGGAGCTCTGGCTGGGCCTTGTGGCGCCCTCTGAAGCTCCTGTGTTAGAACACCAAGTGTGAAGACAGCATAGGTTCGTTGAGAATGACAAAATTAATGTTGGAAAGTTTCCAACACTAATACATCATTTCTCGTATTATAACACATTATCATTGTATTAACCCATAGTAATTACTAACACTACTAAAATGTAGATTTAATTCAATTAATGTTTCTATTACTAAGCAATATATTTGCCTAATTCTTCCTAGTCAGAGTGACGACGTGAGGAACGACAGGATAAAACATGAATCTCTCCACATTTAGTTGCATCTAAACAAAGTTTAATTATATTCCTTTACTAAAGATAAACGTTTATTTAGTTGATTATTTACATAACATATTATTGCTTACTGAACTCGTTCATTTAGGTGTATTAATAACAACAGTGGAAATTATTTTAGTATAATACGATTTATATAAAATTTCTTAATGCAGTCTTAATAAGCTGACTTGCATTGTGCAAATATACACTAATTCATTTATTAGTGACGTAAGCACTTGTCACCAGTCCTTACTTCCCTGATTAATTATAAGTAAAATAGAATACATTAAGCTCGAGAATACTTTGAGCGGGCTGCGCATGCGTATTGCAGCCAGGGTTGAGGGAGGAGAGGAGGGAGACGCCACTTGTGTGGAAGACGCCATATTAGCAGCGTGCAAGGGAGAAGCACTCCCTAGTGAGGTGTGTTCTGAACAGCGCCTGCGCCCACTATTACCGCCATTGCCTTTAATTGGCCTGAAGATCGGTCATTGCCTTTAATTGACCAAGGGCACATTCTACTCTTGCTCTGAGACCTGAAAGAAGGCATCTTCAAGCAGAGGGCTTCGCGAGGTGTGCACGCGTCCCTGCAAGCGCCAGCCATTACATCGAGATCACGTGGTCGTACAACATTAGTTGTTTAATTACGCGTCTACAAAAATAGTTTCGTCCCGCAATTAGTCGTACACAGCAGTGAACGTTAGGGATTGGCAGACATGATACCGGCTGGCCTAAGTGTTCCAACACGTCTACGTTTAGTATATATTGTAGTTTGATGCATCATTCTATAGATTATTACTGTGGGTAGCCTGTCGTTAGGATATACGACGACCACAAACACAACGTTAGTTTCTTTCAATGTTATTCTCCAATTTCAGTGAATATTGGAATAATTTTCTAGCCTAGTCAAATGTTACTCAAATTTCCATGATGACAGCGTGTAGGCGAGGACGAGCCAAGCATTCCTTCCTCCACCTACGATGTTCACCACTGGTGTTTCTTCCTTATTTGGACGATGTGATCACGGCTACGAGTAGTGAAACGGGTTTAGTGAAGTCGTCTTACAGCTAAGCCACAACTCCCATTTCGTAGAATATTTTGACCGTTACCATTATTATTTCTAATATGTACTTTTGATGCATATAATATTCAAGAGGAGTAACATAATTCAATAGTTTATTGCTCAGTGCTCAATAAGTTTGCACCTAGTATTTTCTATGATTTGGTAATATTTTATAGATTTGATCATTTATTATCTTATGATCTTTTAGAATCTACATTTAATTTCGGATTCTATAACTTTTACTATCATCATTAATGAACTGGTGACGAACCGCACTAGTTCCTAGATATATATGAATTTCTAGTAATACCCCCCAATGTTGATGTTTGAGGATTTTAACTCAATTAATTATTATTACAGTTCATTCATGCTCTTCAAATAATTGCTAAATAATCTAACATCCATAGGCATTGGTTCCACAGTGTCAGTCTTATAATCTTTTATTCGTTTTCCCTCATTTCTGAAAAGTGGGTGCTCCTTCGAGTATACTGATTTTCTTAATTAAATATTCTTACATTTCAGTTGATCCCAGATACCCAACAATCAACACTGTGAATAAACAATACGCCAATGAAATACTTCCCCAAAATGCCCACCAATCAGCTTCTGATATGTAGGAGTTGTGAATAATGCTTCTCATAAAAAGGTTAGGCTGAGAAAATATGAATGGCTGAACTGTGTGTAGATACAGTATATTGTGGAAAAGGCTCTTAGCTTAAAATTTCATCAATGTAATCTTAGAAACTACATGCTAAGATGATTTAAATTTACTAGGTTAGGTTAAGTTCTCTTATCATATGATACATTTCTTAATAAACCTGCCCCCTTCCTTTCCAGCCCGTTGTCGTCGTGAGACTTGGTGGGCGGCAGCCGGAGTGTGTTGCTCCATGGGACAGTCCCCTGTCCCTTTGAAGCCTTATGCTCTGCTGCTGTCTTAACAAATTGTGCTAGAAATCTTTTCCTTTTCCTTATGTTCCATTTTTCTCCCTTCTCTTCACCTTTCTAATTGTTATTTCCCACCGACCTTTTGCAAGTCTTGATTATTCTTTTGAATATCTTCTGTTTTGATGCCCGGGTGTTTGGGGAGGCACAGTCTCTCACCCGTAGAATCAACGCTGGTACCCAATGTAGCGAGCAGGGGGATGCTTTTATTGTCAATCCTCCTTTCGTTACTGAACCCGATCTCGACGGACTGACAGTTCTTAAGGTTAAGGTGGCGATTGTGGGGCGTATACCCACGATGCACCCCTAGGGGGGCCCCCTGCCTGTCTCTTGTTGGGTGTCCTATCCTTTAATTGTGGCTCCATGCTGGGGTATAGAGGCTTATTCATGAATGACCTCGTTTCTATGCCGATGAATAATGATGTTCTTATAACTTCTGAGGCTCGTGGGGTGGGCGACCAAGCCCCCGAGTCAGACTGTGTTGGAAGACCAGACTCTGTAGCCCCCGCTACATTGGGCCCAGACCAAGCTACTCCTCTGACCCTCCTGACTATCCCCTCTGCTTCCCTCCCACCTCTGTGTTAGGGATGAGCCCAAAGTCCCCTGTGGTGACCACCTCAGCAGCTACTTCTCTGATTGTGACAACTGCCCCATTCACCCCCCCCCCCCCCTCTCACTGGGGATGCTCGGTACTGACTTGCCTACAGACGCCCTTGCACGATCCTTTCCAGTGCTACTACGTTCAACATCTTGTTTGGTCCTGCTTCATGGACTAAATATTTGATCTCACCCATATGAATTCTACTCTTCCTGACGATTTCTTCCTTCATAAACACCTTGTTGATTTAGTAGATGCCTCCTCTGTTACTTTTAACCCCACCCGATTTGGTACACGAGTCATTGCTGCTGCTCCTCAGGATGCAGCAACCCGCTTAGCTGCATTGTCCAGCATTGGAGAGACCCCTGCTAGGATCTCCAAAAATGCCCGGTTAAATGCCAGTATTGGCACTGTTCTCCTCCTGCACCATGTTGGGACTGGCTTTTGGGATCTGAAAGATAGCCACGAGGATAATAAACATATCCTTGAAGCCCAAGACCATTCTGTCCTCCAGGTTGATACGTTCACTTGACCCCCTCATGATGGTCGTCGTCAGGCTCTTCGAGTTGTAAAAATCACTTTTGATGGCAGGACCTTTCCACCTTCTATAATTCTTGCTGGTACCAAATGCTCCATTCAGGAGTACATTCCTTCTAGGCTTTGCAATAAGTGCTGAAAATTTGGGCATGGTGCCCTCAAATGCACAAGTGTGGTGTCTCTATGCCCTAAGTGTGGGGACCAGACCACACACTAGAAGGTGAAGGGACGACGACGTTTCGGTCCGTCCTGGACCATTCTCAATCGACTTGAGAATGGTCCAGGATGGACCGAAACGTTGTCGTCCCTTCACCTTCTAGTGTGTGGTCTGGTCAACATACTTTAGCCACGTTATTGTGACTCATCGCCTGCATGTGTGGGGACTCAGGTCACTCTAAGGCTGAGTGCTCTTCTCCCCAAGCTCGATGCCTCAGTTGCAGTGACGCCCACTCTACCTTCTCCCACAAGTGTATACACTACAAATTTGAGGAAGCCATCCTCAGTTTGAAGTACCTCAAATGTTTGTCTTTTCCTGAGGCAAGGTGCCAAGTCTGCCGTGACTCCTCTTTTGCTCACGTATCTTATACTCGTGTTCTGTGTTCTACCTTTCCTCGCCCTTCCCTCCTTTCTCAGTCTCACAACCGTTCCCAGGCCTTAGACCCGGATACGCCCGCCCACCATCTCGCCTGTTCCTTTCCGTTCTGAACCACGGGATCCTCCTGGTTCTTCATCTGGTGTTTCCATCCTTCCTTCCCAGTCTGCCATATCTCCTGTCTTCTTTCCCGTCTTTCCTCCCCATTCCTTCTTCACAGCCCTACCTCTTGTCCCCGCCAACTTCCTCGAACTCCAAATC